AAAATGTTCACTTTCTGTCATGTGAAATAGTTTTTTTTTCTACTTATGATAAAAGTATCTTAATGCCAAAAGAAATTAAAATATGTCATCATCCAGCTGCCGTCCTTGTAAATCTGATGCTAATTAGATTTGCAAATACACAATTATTGTAACAACAAAAAAACTAGATTGATAAAAATGTGTCTATCGGGCATCTTTTTTTCTTAAACGACTCATGAATTTAACTTATTATAATAAGCAATAATGTAAGAAAACAGCCACTTTAAAAYCTTGCATTCATCACTACCATCATTATTGATTCTTTCTGTTTAATGGACTTTGYAATCTTAGCTGATGAAACATCCTTGAATGCACCATGATCATTTTATTTTTAGATCAAAGAATTAAACGAACGTAGCAAATTACCTTTCCTCTTGCTRCAGGAGTAAACCTGCGGCGGGCCGGCCTGCAGGTGTGGATGGGAGTGGCTGAAGTGTGTTGGTGGAGSGCCCAGCAGCTCCTGAGGGCTGCCGCCGGTCAAGCCATCTTCGCAGCTGTAGGGGGACCCCACGGCTTCAGGGGAGCTYCGCAGACCCCGACTCTCCCCACTGAAGGGGCTTGCGGCAGAGCAAGCTTTCTGACGAACGGTACTGCGAGGCACGACGGGGTAATCCTTCCTGAAACACACAGAGGTAGAGAAATTACTATTATTTGACATTTCTGTGCATTTTTTTAACAGCTAAGTTTCTATAAATATGTTGCTTTTTTTGGGGATAAATTTCTTGTTTCCTCGCTTTCATCACATCTACTTAGATATTCCACAACCTTTCAGCTCTGATTTCTTTTCCTGCTCTTGCTGCCCTCTTGGTGAACTTTGTGGTATGTAGGAGACAAGCCACATCTCCCTGAGTCCTGCAGTGAAACACACACACACACACGCACACATTCACAGCCAGCGCTGTTGTGAGATAATTCGGCGCTCTAAAAATAAACATCCATCCATGTGTCACATCAGATAGACTCTCCTCTGCTCTCCTCGACAACACCGCAACATGAAAAAAACCCCACCAAAAACAAACAAGGAGGCTGCATCTATGTCCTCTGTTCCTCGCATGTTTCGTTTCCTCTCCTTTTCCTTTAGCAGTGTCTATCTGAGCCGCTTGAATGTAGCTGATCAGCAGCCACGGCCTAAAAGACCTGCAGATATGTGTTCATCAATGCGGCGCGGGAGCTGCTTTTCACTTAGTGGTCCACCTTCGGGTGACAACAGCTCACATCACTTTCTGCAACTTTCATCCTGCTGCCTTAGACCATACGCACACCATCATAAGAGCCGTCCACCCTCCAGTGTGGAGCTAGACTTTTATGGAAGTGGCGGTAGAAGGGTGGCCAGGGTCTGTTGTTTGTATTGATTTTATCAGTACTGCTACTTTTACTGATATTGCTAATCAATCTGGTATTTTACTTGTACTTTTATTGATGCTTTTATGTGGAATTAAAAACAGAAAACATGTTGGTATTTTTCATGCCAGAAAAAGCCTACTTCACACTCCCTCCGAACTGCCGAAATCAGCTCAGATTGTCGCAGTTTTATGACGAAAATGATGTCACCGTGTTTTCAGAGTCGACTCCGCTGCCCCTTTTGTCACATCTAACCTTGGGTCATGCAGTTTAAATCTTGTAGCTCCACACGTCTTCAGCTACGGAACTGAAGTTTTCGTCTTTGTTMTTTTTATTTTCCATGTCCTGGATGACTGAGACTCCACAGAAACATACGGTAGTAACGTCGAGGCGTCGCRGACCGTATTAAATAAAGTTAGTCGATCGATTCCTTAGTTTTAGCACATCGATTTGTTACAAAACTAAAATTCTGCAGGCAGGTTAAAATGTAAACACTAAACTGAACAAATGTGTCAGATAATTATTTAAATCGGATCTAATTGCACAATTTCAGATTCCACAAGCTAGCATGTAGCATCCACRGGCTACTTCTGTGAACACCAAGCTGATGCCTTTTTTCTGTCGTTAGCGCATGCAGTTCACATATACCAGCTACTCCACTTCATGCCGAGCCTGGCAACAAGGCAGAGGTGAGAGAGGAAAAGAGAGATTGTTTTGGGACTAAAATCTAAACAAGGCAGCATGTGAGGTTTCTGCTACTCCGGTACCGTTAAAACTGAAGCTTGTCGATCCGGTCAAAATTAATCACGTGGCACCGGTTCTGAAAAAATACAGTTTTGGTACCATCTCTACTCTGGAGGGTGAACACAGATGAAGGAAATCATTCTGTTTATTGAAACTGGTGCCTATAAGGAACATAATAATAACCAATATGTATTTCTCTATTTATCCAACTTTCTCAGTCTGTCTGTCTCACACACCCACACTAATGTTAGTGAACATCAAGACTCCGCCTACAACGCTGTCATTGCAAGTATGACTCAGCCACCTGTGAACCAAAGGTGTGAATCAGGGCCCCAATGATCCCAACACAAAGAGGGACAAAAACAAAGGGATGTTAAACCCCCGCTTGCATTCACTACATTCACATAACACGACACGGGTCAGGTGATGGGGCACATGACCCTCTATGAACAATAGAGCCAATCAAGCCTATTGTTAGTCGATGGCTCTATTTTGCATGTGACTAACCTGTTTGTCCATGTGGAGGCAGTGCTTTTAAGGCTGAGTTTCAACTGAAACTCATCAGACTGAAGAAGTCTCTTGGAGGACAGACGAAATGTTTCACTAAAGAAGAACCCGTCCAGAGGACCTATTTATATTTTCTTTTTGATCAAGACTCACAAATTGGAAATACCTTCTGCAAACTCAAGCACACACAGGATCTACGAGTGAAAAATATTTTAGATTTTATTTAATTAAAATTGTTCAACATGATATAAAACGTGTTTTTGCAAAAAGTACACACAAACCAAATCAGGTTTTATCAGGTTTTTGGGGTAGACGGGGGCCACCCCTCTAGCTCTGCCCCCCCTCGTTGAAGGAGGTAGAAAAGGCCTAAAAGATCCCAAATATGCAGAAAGTGGACGCTCACAATCAAGGCTTCACTCACCCCTGAAGCTTGGCCATGCGATGCAGCTCGTTGTCGTCGCTGCCTCTGAACCCTTTAGCAAAAGGATTATTCTCTATCTTCAGCTGAGTGATCTGGAAACAGAAATACAGCAAACCTTTAGATCAAACCGAAGAACGCGTGCAGAATCGAACACAAACAGCATCATAAATGCATGAAGCCATTCTCTCTTCATTGATTGTTTAGTGTTAAGATCAATMAGAGGTGGTGCAGATGTTCGCAGCAGAGCTCTGCACAGCTGCCGCCGCTCCTGACTGAGCAGCACGGCGTTCACACCAGCTGACACAGAATAAACTGTTTAACCAAACAGTCACAGGCTTTAAGGGGTTCAGGCCGAGGCTTTTAGAGGCCCGGAGCTTTGAGCTTTGATGTTAAAGCCCTCAAATGTTTCTCAGTGATGTCATGGAGGAAAAGTTTTGCCGTTTGAGAGACTTCATTTGGCTGAGGACCCGGTTTATCACACAGCGGAGGAGTGGGCCAAAGTTCACCTCTAAACAAACTTTGAAGGGCCGAAAACACAGACTGTCTTTGCTAAAGTGCACACTGCACCGAGAGCTTTATTTTCTGCAAAAAGTATATTAATATTTTCATATTCTCCTAATAATATTTAAACACAGATGCTAAAGTTAGTTCTTTTGCAGGATGGAAAATAATAATTTCAGTTGTTTTTATAATAAGGGTAACACCTGTCCAAGAACTAACTATATTTATCTATTGTCCATTAAATGAAAATAAAGACAAAAATAGCTCAGAAATTTACCTCTGAATAGCACTACTCTTATGGTGACTAATAATATGCATTGTTAAAATATAATATGTAATAGTATTTTTACATATTGACACAAAAGTAGTTGTATTTTAAAAAATAAATCAATAATAGTCATTACAATTTTTACAAATTTATAATGCTGAGATTACAATTAAACTAATAAATATAAATAATGAAGTAGTAGTTTGTTCAAATACATTTTTGTAACATATAAGCTACAGTATAGTGAGGGAAATTCTATTATTAGATATTTATTAGTTAGTTAATTTAATTATTTGTTTTATTTGTCCAGTTAAAAAATGGGACAATAAAATAAAGACAATGAACTTCGTTGACTTTTAGTTTCATTCATCTTGACTCTGAAAATGAACTAAAATAGTTGTAGAATTATTTTTTGCTTATTTTGCTTTGGTGAACTTTTTCTGCCTGATTGTGTTTTAGGTTTTTATTTTCTGTGAAAGTGAAACGGGGTAAAAGTCAGAGTGTCTGAGAAATCAATCAGCCGAGCGGCTCAAAGAACGAACAATCTGTCTTTAGAGGATGTCAGGAAAAACCAGATCAGCCAAGATCAAGGGACAGAAACAGGTCGTTAGAGACCAACACTCACAGGAACATGAAAACACAGATTGTACACACACACACACACACACACACACACACACACACACACACACACACACACACACACACNACACACACACACACACATACAGAGAGAAAGAGAGAGAAGGAATTTCTTCACTTATGCAAACATCAAGTAAGAACTAGTATAAAAAGATACAAAGTACAAAGTTTGTGCTGTGAAGCTGTACAACACAYAGTTTTCAGCTCTAAAAGGTCTGAAGTTTCTCTGTTAAACAGTGCTGCGCCTCCCTCACCTTATGGTTCTGATAGGACGTCACTGCAATAAAGGCCGTTTCTGGGAAGACGTGAGTGCAGAAAGCAGTGTTTTTTGAGCCAAAGCCGTTGTTTTCATCCGCTTTGACRATGTGGAGTCGAGGCTGGTATTTGTGCATGGAGTTCAGTATTATCTGCAGAACACAGAGAGATCAGAGACTTAATGGGCTTCCAGAAACACATCAGCACGTCCTGCTGCTGGACCGGACTGGACTGGACTGATCAGGATTCTTTAGCTTTCTGATTTACTTGCTGCTGTTTCTGATTAATCCTGCATCCTTTTGGACTCATTAGTTGGATCAGAAAGGAAGTTGGGAAGAAAGAAGCTACAGATTTTTGTGCATGATGGTCTTAAAGCAACTTCTCAAAAATTATCTTTTATTTGTCTAACTATTTCTGTTAAATGTACAGTTTGGTTTTGGACTGGCCTCYGATGACAATGAATGAGTCTGAAGCATTTTTCACAGCCCTGACACACAGTCTCCAAGAAGTTTTTAATTAGATCAGTGTCTGTGTGTGCACGCACCGATCTAAGCCCGTCTGTTTATCCACAGGGCTCAGTTTAATCTTAGGGACATGTCCGCTGGTGACATGCATGAGTTAATTGACTTTGGACTCACTGAAGTTATTATCTCTAATTTGAAAAGCCTGAAAAGCTGATTTTGTCTGTATTTGTCCACAAAGTTACAGGTTCTCATCTTTTTCATGCATGTATCGTGAACTTAACATGATTACATTAATGTTTTTCACTGAGTTAATAATAGACTAAGTAGCTGGCCTTCAGATAACGTTTATTAGAAGACAAATTAAATAACCTTGTTGAGTGTAAACRATGTTTCTGTTTTATAGAGCAGGAATCAACTGGTGGTTCCTGGGCCGAATTTGTCAGATGATCTCAAACTATCTGGTCAGTGAATTAATAAATTATTAAAAAGCTATAAATATTTCAAAATATGGATCAGTTGCATGAGGATAATGACAGTTGTGTGTTAGCCAATCAGAACTCAGCTGTTGTGTCTCTGCAGGAGACACAAGTTTTGTTTTTACATTCAGTCCAGCCAATGACAATTTATGTTTTTATCAATTTCATCTAAGGACAGAGATCTTTTTGAACTACAAATATTCCTTTCCAAACCAAATCTATTATTTAACTAGTTTAGATATTAAACACTCATTATAAGATTGTTTTTTTTTCTCTTTTAAATTATTCTAAATGTTCTCAACACTTTTTATATTTCACTTTTATGTGCACTTATTGTGTCACTCAAATGCAAAATATTTACAGGTGCAATTAAAATGAATAAAACAGAATCATTCTAATGATCATAAGTGTGGGTTATAAAACATTTTATCTTGTGCTGATTTAAATAATATGAATTATTTAAGCAGAAGCTGTAAAATAGTTCATGTCACAAAAAGTGAAAAATGTTAAAAACAGCATTTGTTTGATAAAATTCACGCCAACACATTCAGACTAAGTCAAAGACAGACTCACGTGTCCGAACGGGTCCAAGTGGTTGTTGGTGAGTTTGAGTTTCTGAAAGGAGACCAGCTGGCGGCTCCAGTGCGCTCCTGTTGCAGGAGAGTCCGGGTGCACGTAGAGCCTGCCGGGCATGGCGGGTTCTGCTTTCCCCGTTATGGACCTGAACAACACAGCAGGACGGGAACTGATCAGACTCACCCTCGTGGCGCAGCAGGCCTTCGAGCTGCAGACTGCAGGCCTCAGTTCTGCTTTTATTTTTATTTCTGCAGGAGTTTCATCAGCTTTTTATTGATAAGCCTAATCTTATCATTAACCTCATTTCTGTTGTTTTGGCCAGAAATAGGGGGAAAAAATAATAAATGAAATAAAACGACTCCAGTCCCAAGAAAACAACTTTTGGAATATTTTTCAGTGACATCACTGAGCGCTCTGTGCGCATGCTCAGAGGCTCGAGGGTTAATTCTAATGAACCTACATTTTCTCATGTTTCTGCATTATTATAACAACAACAATAATAACAATAATC